AAACATAAACATACTTAGTCCTATTGGTAAATGTGAATATCTTTGTGGTTTGCTCATATAGAAAGATGACATACAATGAATAAAACTTTATTTTTTTTTTCTGGCTGTTATGGGGATCTGAGCCTTTGACCTTGGTGTTCACCGGCCAGCCCAGAGGAAAATTTTAACTGTGCTATATTTCTCTTATTTCTTTCTTTAAAAAAAGAAGAAAAAAAAAAAAAAATATATATATATATAATAGAAATGATCCTCTTGTGAGTAATTTAGGCGAAAGAAACAAAATAATAAGCAGCATTAGATTGTCCTTATATTTTCAAGCTAATAATTTGTATTTTTTATTAAATGATATATGCCAGTTACCATGGTGGATGCTTCATTTATATTCCTGTTTATTTTCATCCTTATGATGATCTTGTAGGACAGATGATATTCCTATTTGACGCATGTGGCATAGAGGTTCAGAGTGATTAAGTGACTTATCAAAGGTCACACCAGGTAGTACAAAGAGTACCTGAGATTTGAACCCAGGTCAAGGTTGATCTGAATTCCTAAATAAAAATTTGTAACATTTTCACAAAACTTTTAGATTTGTCTTAGTTTTAAAACAGAATAACATTCTTAAATCTTAATCCCATTTCCATAGTATATGGAATGGTATGAACAATACTGGAGGATTCTTGCCTCTGTAAGTAAGGGAAATTATAAATATAGTGTCAAGTATTATTGGGGGTAGTACATATCATTTCTGACCAGTGTCATCAAGGAAGGCTTCTTAGAGGTGGTAACAAGCAGTTGGGAACGATACAGAAGTGGAGTTTTGTGGGTGGAAGCTGAGGAGATTATTCCAGAAAGGGAGTATGGTATATATAGAAAAGTACCATGTGTACCATTGAAAAATGACATTTAGGCCAATTTAGGTGTGAGTAGGAGACATAACTGGAGGGGAGTGTGGGGGCTGTAAACTTTTAGAACCAGAGGAAACCTTAGAAGTCCTGTAAGTTATCCTTTTGTTGTTGGGCCGGCCCGGTGGCGCACTCGGTTGAGTGCGGTGCTCGGGAGCACGGTGGCGCTCCCGCCAAGGGTTCGGATCCCATATAGAGACCGGTCCGCTCACTGGCTGAGCGTGGTGCGGGCACGACACCAAGGGTTGCGATCCCGTTGCCGGTCGCCATACGGGCGCGACACTGAGGGTTGCGATCCCGTTACCGGTCATGAAAAAAGACAGACAGGAAAAAAAAAAGTTATCCTTTTGTTTTTAGTCAGTTAGGTATAATTGTTTCCCCAAGTTGACAAATCCTGTTGCCAGTCGCCGTACGGGCGCGACACTGAGGGTTGCGATCCCGTTACCGGTCATGAAAAAAGACAGACAGGAAAAAAAAAAAGTTATCCTTTTGTTTTTAGTCAGTTAGGTATAATTGTTTCCCCAAGTTGACATATTTAAATCTATAATTATTTGATTCCCTTTCCCACTCCCTACATTAAATATTTCTTTTGATAGTTTGAATTGAATGAGGGGTAGAGGAGGCTCTTTAAGTGATTTTAATTATCATCTTTGGTCTCAAGGTCTGAGATAGTTTATATTTTACATGTATGCTTCTAATTTAAATGCATCTTTTGCTAGATTTAAAAAAATTTTTTTAAATGTTTATTTATTTATTTAATGTTCAAAACAGAATAATTAACTTGCTAGATTTTAGTAGGAGCAAAATATCTCATTAACCCTGAGCAGTCTAGTTAAAGTCTACCTGACATGACCTTGAGGAGTGAGAAAAAGAAATAAAACTCCATGATTTATCAGTTTAGTGAGGGAGAAGGGATAGAGGATGGATCCTATTGAAAAAGAGGTTTGTTTCAAATTTGACTCTGATTGAATAGCAACAATGCTCAGAATTTATTATTTCTCCAATACTGGTAGCAGTTGAATTTAATCCAAAGGATGTTTATGGTAGTGACATTAATTATGGTTAAATATTCAGTTATTTCTTTTAATTATAAGGTGATGCAGATAAACTCATTCTTTAAGCTCAAATGATATGGGATTGAAATGAAGTTTATTTTAGATTTCCTATATTTTTTCACGGATGCTTACATGAAAAGTGAGGCAAACATGCTGTTACCTTTCAGTTTCGTGTCATTTAATTCTCTTTAGGCAGGTTTGATTCTGTAGTTTTGTGTCATTTAATTCTCTTTAGGCAGGGTTTTTTTGGTTTTTGTTTTGTTTGTTTTTTTTCTTAAGATGACCGGTAAGAGCATCTTAACCCTTGACTTGGTGTTGTCAGCACCACTGTCTCCCAAGTGAGCTAACCGGCCATCCCTATATAGGGATTCAAACCCATGGCCTTGGTCTTAACAGCACCACACTCTCCCAAGTGAGCCATGGGCTGGCTCTCTTTAGGCAGGTTTGATTCTACGTCTTTATTTTGAAATTGGGAAGAAAAACTGCATGATTAAGTCTTGATATGTTCATATAAGTATACTGTGTGACTGCAGTTCTGTGATGAGATTCTATCTAGCCCTTTGTCTTTACCACTGGAGTGATAGTTCTTAGAATTTGTGAGATATAACGTATGATTTCCTTAGTTCATCACTCATAGCATTTACTGTGTGCCAAAACATGGTCTAAGCATTTTACGTACAACTTGTAATCCTCACAACCTTTAAGGTTAGGTATTATTAGTGTCGTCATTTCATAGGCAGTAAACCTGTGTTGTGTGACTTACCCACAGTCACATAGCTATTAAGTAGAAGAGCCTGGATTGAACCTAGGTAGCCTAGCTCCAGACCGTTATGCTGTACTACCTTTCATGTGAGACAGGATCAATTTAATGGTGTGGTGTGTGTGTGGCTGGAGGTGAAGGTTGTGTTTTACAGTGTGCTTAGAGACAGCAGATTCTGCAACTGCTTTTCCTCATTGTAGTTTTATCCCCTTACTCTTCTTGGGGTGCTTGTCTTTTTGCTTTAATACAAAATCATAAGTGCCCTTTAAAATGTTTATTGCTTGAAGACGTGAATTGTTTACAAATGTCGTTAGCGCATGCTGCTTTTTTTGTTTGTTTTTTAAATTAGAAATCTAAAATTATATTCCTTTGTGTAGAAATACTTGCAGTGGCAGGCAGGTGTTTACTACTCTTATCTTCTATTTTCTTTTGTATAGGAAAGAAATGCTGAAAATGCAATTGAAGCCCTTAAGGAGTATGAGCCGCTTTGTGTAGAAATACTTGTAGTGGCAGGCAGGTGTTTACTACTCTTATCTTCTGTTTTCTTTTGTATAGGAAAGAAATGCTGAAAATGCAATTGAAGCCCTTAAGGAGTATGAGCCTGAAATGGGCAAAGTGTATCGACAGGACAGAAAGAGTGTACAACGTATTAAAGCTAAAGACATAGTTCCTGGTGATATTGTAGAAATTGCTGGTGAGTTGAGTTTGTCATTTTTCTTTTATTCTAGATTGTATTTCTGAATCTGGTCCTTTTCTTAAGGCTCATAATTATATTTAAAATAATTATCTTAGGGCTGGCCCCATGGCTCACTTGGGAGAGTGCGGCACTGGTAGTGCCAAGGCTGTGGGTTCGGATCCTGTATAGGGATGGCCAGTGAGTGAGCGTGGTACAGACGGCACCATGCCGAGGGTTGCGATCCCCTTACCGGTCCAAAAAAAAAAAGTTATCTTAATATATATCATATTAACACATATAGTGCCATCCAAACAAATCCTGTGTTCTATAAAATTATTTCAAAGTGTTTCGGTACCTCCCATCTCATATATATATATATATATATATATATATTTTTTTTTTTTTTTTTTTAATTGTGACATAGTTGATAATACATATCTGTGGGGTACAGAGTTGAATATCAATACCTGTGTGTAATATATGGTGCTCAAATCAGGGTAAATAGTATATTCAACAATATACAATGTAATTGTTACCAATTCCTCTCTTACCTTCCCCCTACCCACCCCCGACCCCCTGCCACTTTCTCACCTCTGGTAACCTCAGTTTTGTTCTCTCCTCCTCCATATTGTTAAGGTTTTTGGTTTTAAACAAGGTGTTTTGAATTCTTGCACTTAGTAGTTTAGATGCATTGTAGAACACTAGTGCTAGAGAGGTGAAACTTAAAGTTGGTGTGATAATTGGTTGTATTGAGCAATTTGTTAGAATACTGGCTAATGACTACATGGCTTTTTGTGTTTTGGTTCTTGGCACAAATGTTGTCATGCTTGTAACTATCGAATTAAGTTGATTGTTAAGGGCAATTTCATGATTCTAAAAGCTATGCTTAGAAATACTTTTACATGGCAGTTAGGTCAGTTGGTTAGAGTGTGGTGCTGGTAACTCCAAGGTCCAGGGTTTGATTTCTGTACTGGCCAGCCAGGGGTCTCAGCCTGGACTCTAGGGATCAGCTTCAAAGAGTTCGTGAATCTGCTGCAAGTCCAGAGCTCTCCACAGATCTCCAGGGGGTTAGTATACTCACCACTGTAGATTACTGCCATATTTTCAGGCAGCCCAGAATCAGAATTCAGGTTTTCATGGCTTTTCACACCCTTCTGAGCTCAGAATACTTTTTACTTTCTTTTTGTGATTGTTTCATAATAATGCTTTTACACTGACTTAGGGAAGTTGTGCTTTGTCTTTCTTTTCATTAAAATTCGTACAATAATTCAAAGAGCTGCATTTTTTAGCCTATGCTCTATGGCTTTGGCCTCTGAATCAGAATTAAAGGAAATTGTCTTGTCATAGGTGTTCTGTCCATAAATTCTGTTGTAGTTCTTACAGGAAAAAAAGGATAGTGTTGCATATACACCAATAAGTTGATCACTTGTATGTGTGTATAAATCACTTAAAAGATTACTTAAGAAGTGTGTTAACAAAAATACAACTCAGAATGAAATGTTTTGGCTACTGGATTTCTAAAAACTTTTTATTTTGACATAATTTCAGACTTAAAACTTAAAAGAACAGTAAGGATTTCCATATAGCCTTCACCCAGACTCTCCAAACGTTAACATTTTATCACTGTACATTATCTTTCTTTTTCAGTCTATATTTATATACACACATTTTTGTCTGAACTATTTGAGGGTAAGTTGTAGATATGAATTCCCTTTACTCCTAAATACTTTAGTGTTTATTTTATGAAATCAAGGATATTCTTTTATATAATCCCAGTACAATTATCAAAATCAGGAAATTGAAAATAATATTATCTAATCTAGAAGCCTTATTCAGAATTTACTGATTGTGACATCTTTTATAGCAAAAAAATTGAGTTTTGAGGAATGCTGGTGCTGATGCAGAAAATAGGTCAGAATATGGAGAAGGCTAGAGATAGGGAGGCTATTTTAATAGTGTAGACAAGAAATAATGAGGGCAAAAGATAATGAGGGCAGTAGCATCAAGAATAATGAAGGAAAGATTTTAAAAGTTTATGAATAGTGGTTCCTGAGTAGGGAAGTGTTCATTAGAGTCATCTGGGGGCACTCTTAAAGTTTTTTAGCAGTTCTCAACCCAAAATATTTACTTTGAATCTTCTTTGGGTAAAATGAGCCTCTGACTTAGATGCAAAACAGGTTTTGATAACTGAATGTATGTGCGGTGGATAGGAGTAGGATACAGAATCAAAGATACTGACAGGATTTCTAGTTTGGGTGACTGAGTGTAATGACACTGGTAAGAGGAAGGAAACATCAGAGGAAGATAGTTTATCACAAGTAGATATGTAGTAGGTGGGGTTGCAGATAACATCACATAAGTATGTGTATGAGATTCTGGTTGACTTTGTTTACCATGTCTCTAGCTTCATCTGGTAAATGCACTCTTTAGCCTCTCAAATTAAGAATATTTTAGATCGTGGTCCTGGTAATACCAAGGTCCAGGGTTCAATCCCTGTACTGGCCAGCTGCCCAAAAATTTTTGTAAAAAAGAATATTTTAAGCATTTTTTTGTTAGTTGGGCTATTTCAGTGTGTTAGATTTTCTTGAAGACTTAGAGAAATTATCCCAAAGCTTTGTATCAGTAGATGGCATTGGGAAATAGCTTCAGGAAACTATAACCTTGTTATCTCAAGGCATCATCCCTTTTGAATAAATAAACTTAAGTCCAGCTTCTCTTTCTGTTTCCCTCTGAATCCTAGTTCTTGCCAGTCTTTTCTATCTCAGTAAGTCACTTTAACCACCTCGTTATCTGAGAGAAATTTGGGAGTCATCTTGATTCTTCCCTCATCCTCTAATTTGTCTGTAAGGCTGTTGATTTTGTTTCCACAACATACTCAAGTTTGTGAACTTTTCGTTTCCTTTAAGTTTTATAGAGTTTATCAATTTGACCAATGCACAGATCTCACAGTGGCAAAGATTTGATTATAACCCTGATCTACCTGGCCTTTCTTGCACACTGTGAAATTCCTTTCCATGTATTGAAGTCTAGTTTTTTATGTTGCATTTGGTAGTTTAGGAAGGACAAATAATGGTTGATCCACAGTGTGTGACCTAAGATTTCCAGTTTTCTGGAGTCTCTCCCTTTCCTATTTTATGTATTTATATTGTGGTAAAATACATATAACATAAAATTTACCATTTTCACTGTTCTTAAGTGTACTGTTCTGTGGTATTAAGTCCATTCACGTTGTTGTGCAACCATCACCACTATCCATCTCTAGAACTTTCTCATCTTCCTCAATTGGAACAGTGTACTCATTAAACACTAACTTTCCATTCTCCTTTTCCTTGGCCTCTGGCAACCACACCCTTTTTTTTAATATTTAAAAAACAAGGAGTTTAATATTCAAAATAAGATGAGTTTAAATTCCTCATCTTGGGTGACTGTACTACTAAACAATTCACACATTTAAATCCATTTCCCTTTCACATATTTCTGAATCTTTCATGGGAAGTGCTAACAGAACTTCATAGTTACTTATCACTTTTTTCCTCTAGCCATTTCCCCACCGGTACACTAATTGCTAAGTCTGGCTGGTCAGCTCAGTTGGTTAGAGCATGGCGTTTAGAGCATAGCCTTGTAACACCAAGGTCAAGGTTTTGGTTCCCTGTGCAGGCCAGCTGCCAAAAAAAAAAAAAAAAAAGAATGAGAATCTCAGACTAATTGCTAAAAGCATATTTAGTGCTTTGACATTGGGCTCTTGTATACTACTCTTCTTGAATTTTGACCATTCTAACTGAGGGATTCGAAACAGGTGATAATATAATTTTAGATAGATAAATACTCCTGTCATACTACTAGGCAGTGAGCACCTTAAGGGCAGAGCTGTGTCACACTGTCTATTGTAACCTTTCTAAGCATAAGTTCCCCATGAGTAATGAATGAAACTTGAAATCAGAAGTATGGAGTAGGTTCAGCTAATGTTAAACATGCTTATGCAACTTGCTATGCAGAACAGAAAATTGAACTCTATATGCATGTCTTAAATAATAGTAAACTTAAAATGTATGTCACATACTGTGATAGCCTTGCAAATGTTTAGTTTTTAGGCATCAGCCACTCTAGATACATAGTAGTATTCACATAATACAAGGAACTGAGTCTTTATGGTTTATTACCTCTGCCTTCAACTACAGTTAATTTGCTAAGAGAATATACAATGTACTTCATAAACAAATCATATTTCAATTTGTTGGAGGTTCAGCTCACAATTTTTTAAAGCAGCTTTATTGAGATATAATTCACATGCCATAAAAGTTACCTTTTTAAAGTGTACAATTAAGTTTTAGTATAGTCATAGTTGTGCAGTCATCACTATTTAATTAAGAACGTTTTCATCCCCCCAAAAGAAACTCCAAACCCATTAGCAGTTGTTCTCCCTGTCCTCCCCCTAGTCCCTGGCAACCATAATTTAATTTTTGTTTTTATGGATTTACCTATTCTGGACATTGCATATAGATGAAATCATACAATAATATTGTTATTTGTGACTGGCTTCATTCACTTAACCGAATGTTTTCAGGATTCATCAGTGTATCATGTATATTTCATTCATATATACAGCATGTACTGTTTTTCATTCCTTTTTATGGCTGAATAATACTCTGTCGTATGGATGTACCACATTTTGTTTATCTGTTCATTAGTTCACTGACATTTGGGTTGTTTCCAATTTGGGGCTATTATGAATACTACAATTGTGAAGATGTGTGTACAAGTTTTTGTGTCAACATATATTTTCACTGTCTTAGGTATGTATCTAACCATGGAATTACGGGGGCATAGGGCGACTCTTTGTTTAACATTTTAATGAACTGCCAAACTGTTTTTCCAAAGTTGTTGTATTGTTTTACATTTCCACGAGCAGCATATACAGGTTCCAATTTCTCCATATCCTCACCAGTACTTGTTATTGTATGCCTTTTTTATTTTAGCCATGAAGTGATATCTCATTGTGGTTTTGATTTGCATTTCCC